ATGCTGTATGCTGTTGCAGCTGCTACGTTGTGTGCGGGCGCAGCTGCAGCTGCTATGGTGTGCTGTCGCAACTTCAAAACACAAACCTTTAACAAACAAACCTTTAACGCTCTATAACTCGCGTTGTAGTAGGCCTACAATAATAATTTTTCGCTCCTTTTAAAGCTACAATTTCGCTCTATCTGTATGTAAAATTTTGCAATTTTTGAATATTTAATGCTAGTGCTAGCACTACTAAGGGTAGCCATGCAACAACGTTGCAATGTTGTTTTAAGTTTGTTGAATATAGGCACTTAGCGTTTTGGCTGTTGGCAACGTTGGCGCGAAATTAGGGCTGTTGGGCGCAAATTGGGGCCATTAGGGCCGTTGAACAGCTGTTGCACGACCATGCCACGACTGTCAGCAACGGCCGGTCTAGGCTGGATTTCGAAAAACTTTTCCCGATGTAAGTCTCCTCTTTAAAATAAGCTATTAAACAATATTATAGGCCTAGTAATAGAATAGTTATTAAGCGTAGAAGGTTTTAAGCATAATGTTCCTTGCCAAGACACTAAGTTAAGATTCTTCGCTAGGGCTCTAGCAGCCTGAATGTTAGAAAATATAAGAATATTATTCAAGAATAGTAGGTAACGTACTCCACAAGCGAGCTGGCCACCCAAGCGAGCTGGCCACTTTTGCCAAGACCACACCAATACTGCACCTACTTTGCAACATTACAGCACACAACTATAATGTATTATACTACACAGTATACTAAACTAGTCTGTAGTACTCTGTGTATCTTTACTGCATGTTCGCGCGTTGTGCCCTGTCTTGCTACATATGCCACAGCGCCTTAGAGACCAAGGGCTCCTATTAACACACAACCTCTTCTTTGCCTTCTTCCTATTACTACAGGCCTTAAATTCCTTTAGAGTAGTTAGCTGCACTCCCTTAGCAAAGACTAGAGTCCCCTCTTGCTATAATTGCTTCCTTTTGTGTGATTTACAACGTGTAGCAGCCTTATTAGCTGCCTGTAGGTCAGCAACCTAGTTGCGCACTAAAACTAGTAAATGCCTTATTAGCTCTGCGCCTTTAGTAAGCTAATTAAGAGCATTAACTATAGATATTAGTAAGCTATTAGCATGTCTCTAAATCCTCTCTTAAATTAGCTTTAATTAAGACCTAAATTCTAGGGTGTTGCTTAGTATTTTAGACTCCTATATACTGTTGTCCATAGTAGGTGGTGTTAGCAAGCGCAGCTGTACTTTAAGCTTTAATAGCACAGCCTCTAGGTTAAGTAGGACTAGGCCAGCACCTCTAAATCCTCCCTAGATGTTGCTCTCTATAACTAAGGCGTTAAAAGCTGCTTTAAAGCACAGCAAGAACTTAAGTTTAGTAATGCTAGTAATCTTGCCGCGCATCAGCCGCTCAGCTTGGTGGCTATAGGCCTTCTTTAATAGGGCAAAACAGCCTACGTCAAGTGGCTGCAGTAGGTGTGACAAGTGTAGAGGCATACACAGGGTAATAATCCTGTATTCCTTACAGTACTAGTAGAATTTAACTAAGTTGTAACTCTTATAGCTGTCTAGAATAAGCAGCTAATAGCTGCTAATAGTGTGCGCCTTTGTGTGCTTATTAAAGTGCTTTAACTACTTAACTCTAAGCTTGTTGTTAGTCTAGCTGTTGTTAGAGATATTAAGAACCTAGTTATTAGGTATACTAGGCTCCTTATACTAGGCAGAGAGGTGGTGCTTGCTAGAGAAGATAATAAAGGGTAGGATAGACCAGCCCTTTGCGCAGATGCCTTAGATAATACTAGTCTACTCTTAGTCACCATGCTACACTGCCTTTTATCTCCCTTAACACTTAGAGCCTATAACAACAGCTCTTATTAATATAACACCTATTATAAAGCTAGACTTATTAAAGTTGTAGGTGTCTTTATCTTGTATACTACACTTAGCTTTAGTATTCTCTACTAGTTAGAACTAGTCTCTAATTACCTTAGATCCTTACACAGAGCTCTCTTATAGTTATTCTTATAATTAAATTTAACTTTAAGCTCTAGCTAACATTTTACAAAGTTGGCAGCCTAGTTCTTGCTAACATAGGGCTAGTGGCGCTCAGCAAGCAGAGAATTGGCCATATCCTCCACATTAGCAAGCTGGGGTGGGTATCCTCGCTTGTCTAGCTTTAATACATGCTGGACAATCACCTCCTTATTAGTACTAGTCATCCTTATTATGTTAGGCTTGCAATCACGTTATGAAGAGGTTCTAGTAAGGCGCGTGCCTAGGGTGCTTTAAGAGACCTGGTATATTGCTGCAGCGTGTTGCACGCTTAGTGTCGCGTCTTGCTAGATAGCCTAGAGGGCAAGCTGTATATTTGTTTTATTTAAAGGCTTTTTTACGTTGTTGCGTTGAGGCATTACAGGGAGAGTGAAGTTCGGTGTGGTCTTGGCAAAAGTGGCCAGCTCGCTTGGGTGGCCAGTAGGCTGGCGGATGGGTAGGGTAGGGTAGGGTATAGGTATAGTCACGTGATTTATGGGTAGGAACTAGGTAGGGTACATGAGGTACCCTACCCAAACGGTTTGGGTAGGGTAGCACGTGACTGGGTATAGGTATAGGTAGGGTAGCACGTGACTAGGTATAGGTATAGGTAGGGTAGCTAGGTAGGGTCTAGGAATGGGTAGTTATTAGCAAAATCTAGGTTACTACTCTAGACT